GCGCCAACCCCGTCGGCCTCGATCATTTGCGTGCCAGTACCATCGGCCTCGGGTTCAACCTCGTCTCCGGCGCGATCGGCTGCAAGCTCAGCCTCGGGTACACTGCGGCGTAAGCGAGTGCCGCTGGCTGCTAAAACCACTTGTATCTCTGGGTCTGGCGATCATGACGACGATGGCAACGGCACCGCTACCAGCCCTGCTCCCTCAACATCCAAGCGAACGGCATCGGACGTCACGAGCACAGCTGCTGCTTCTTCAACAGCGGCGCAAGCAGCGGAGGCGCCTTTTCCCGCAGCAAAACGAGCATCATCGAGTGGCACGCGCACCGCTACCGTTGCCGCTACTGCTGCCACTCGCTCTGAAGCCACGGTATCTGCTGCAGCTACGCCACCGAATCGGCACAACGTCGCCCCAATATTTCGGTCGAAATCGGGAACAGAAAAAAAATATCTGATGAACTACGCGGCTGACAAGTTTATTGGCGTTCTGAAGTTGATGGATGATTATTGCATGCGATGTACTATTCGACAGGCGAAACCCGTCCTGAAGGCCGAGCATCAATGCGTATCTAATCGTGCAAGCGGTGTCACTTCGAAGGACATGAAGCAAGCAAATGTTTCGTGGGCTTCGCATATCCCAAATGGACGTGTTGCTACGCTTGTGGAATGCCAAGTATGATTCGTGGATGGGATACACGGAATCACCGTTGCAGGCAGTCTCAAGGACTGGATTCGGGCCTGAGCTGTCTCCTCCTTTATTCGGACTGTCATCCGGGGCTGCGCGACCTGGCAAAACAGATGGGCTACAACTTGAGGGTACAGACATTGAAGGAATTAAAAACGCGCGACTTGTTTGTCAAGTGGCTGTACTCGTCCGTTCCTGGTCTACCTCCAGGGGATGGGCATTGGCGTCTTGTGGAATTTGTGTTTGAAAGTGCGAGGATCCTGCTCCCCAGTGCGGCGAAAGCCCAAGTCGGCCCCCTCGACAGTTTTCGTTAAACACACACAGGAAGCTCTTTAGAGAAGAACCGAATGTCAGAATGTCATCATCTTTATTATCTTCAATAACTGCTGAATAGACTGCATCTTTTTACTTGGAATGGCTATGATCTGCTTCAATTAATTGAAACTTTGCTGCATTAACCTCTTGCCTCTATATCCTTCCCTTTGCTTTTGACTTCAATTTTTTTCTTTTCTCACTGACACGCACCACGATGAAGCGGGCCATGGGCGGGGCGCGCGCGCGCTCCTGGTGGTGCGTTGTCGTCGTTGTGGCGCGACGGGCAAGTGCTGCCGAGGTGCAAGCGACGTCATGGATGAACGGGTGGCCAAACGACATTGCCGCGTGACCGTCATGGATGGACCATTCTTGCTGATCTCGTGTTGGGCTGCCATTTGTTGTCAAGACAATTCCTCGATCTGACCCATGAGGAGCCGCGATGGCTCGTGCGCTGATGGACGCGCTAGCGAGGCCCAAGAGCCACGGTGCCTGGTCAGATCCGGCACGAAGCACTCCCGCTCAAATGCAGGTGAGAAACCGATCTTAAGCCCTCTTTTGAAGATGCTATCCATGTTGCCCGCTGCCAGAGTCAAGAGCAAGAGTGATTTTTGCGATTTTTGACGCGCGAATCGCCGGGCGTTTCTGACGGTAGTGCTGTGTCACAGGGTAGCCGCAGGTGGATGAGGACCTTATGATAAAGACCGAGCACGCGAGAAAACTGCGATGTGTGTTTTTTTTCGACGTGCGCCAGAGATTGTGACCAGGGGCCCGGCTGCCATTTGGTGTCGGCTGACGAGCGCACCTTTAGGCCGTTTCGAGGGGGGATACTAATGGTGGAGCTGGCGGGTCACAGGGCGGCCAACGGTGGACGAGGACTCCATAGGGAGCAGCGAAAGCTCGTGAAGAATGCGTGGTGAGCTTTGTTTTGACGTGCACCGAAAATTGTGACCAGGGGGCCGGCCGCCATTTGGTGTTGGCTGAGGAGCCAAGGCGCGCTTTTTTTTTTGCCCTTGAGGGGGGTACTAATGGTGGGGCTGGCAGGTCACAGGGCGGCCAACGATGGATGAGGACTCCACAGTGAGCAGCGGAAGCGTGCGAAGAATGCGTGGTGAGCTTCGTTTTGACGTGCGCCGAAAATTGTGACCAGGGGCCCGGCTGCCATTTGGTGTTGGCCAAGGAGCGCACCTTTTTTCTTGTTTGAGCCGTTTCGAGGGGGGTACTAATGGTGGTGGTGGTGGGTCACAGGGCTGCCGACGGTGGACGAGGACTACACAGTGAGCAGCGGAAGCGTGCGAAGAATGCGTGGTGAGCTTTGTTTTGACGTGCGCCGAAAATTGTGACCACTGGCCCGGCTGCCATTTGGTGTCGGCTGAGGAGCGCACCTTTTGTTTGTTTTGGCCGTTTCGAGGGGGGTACTCATGGTGAGGCTGGCGGGTCACAGGGCTGCCG